CAGCCATGAAAGACCCCATGGAAATGACAGATGGGGTGGGACCCCAGACTAGGATTAGTTTGTGAAGATCCATCTACCAGGCTTAAGCATCGGCGATTCCTTCCCCCGGAAAGGAAGAGAACAGCTCTGAGTTTATTCCCAATGTTCTGACCCACTTTTCATTAGAGCAGTGGGGGAAAAAGAGTGCTCTTACAAAAAACACCTCCCGGTTTCTGCTCAGATGACTGGCCTCTGGCCCAAGAGGGCTCCCTGTTTTTCCACTTTTGTGAGACATGAAACTGGAAAAAGTTGTTGCAAGTTTAAGTAAATAATGAAAAAGGTTTGTCAGCTTTAACTCCTGACTTGGTTGAACTGGACGGACCTCAAATTAGTAAAAACATCATATCCATGTCCAAGAGGTGCAGTAACAATATGGAATCCCAGGATTCACAAGCTGTAAAAAGACAGGTCTCTCAGCAAGCTCCGGCAGCTGTGGATGTGTGTTGTATCTAACAACCCCCCCTTGTTCACTATTGCATCCTCTCCCAGCACAGCCACCCCTGTACTCAGCATCTGCCCTTGCCAGACATTTCAGGGGCATCTAAACACCAACTAATTGACCAGCCCTTCTGCTGCATGCAGCTGGAATACATATCCATCAATCCCACAGACTTAGGAGAGTGCTTCCCAGCTGCCTGCATGTCACATTATGTCTCACACCCTATTTATTAACTGTTATTTTTCAGTTGCTTCTTTTAATACTTTGCTTTCTTTTAATACGTTTTTTTTAAAAGGTTTGATCTTGTTTAGGAGGAGGATACAGACAATGGGAGGATCAGTCCCAACCTGAGCTTTCTGACGCTTCTGTAACGGTTCTGTGACATTGACTTTTCTGCTGGAGCTCAGTTTATCTCTCGGAGTTTCCTGGGGAGTGGAGCACTGGGAAGACACCTGTACTCCATTTCACTTCCAAAGGCATGGACATAGCCCTGGAAACATCACCTTGAGGGAAACAAACACTAAATGCCAAACAGTGCTGAAAACCAAACAAAAATCCCCATTCCTGACAAGCCATCACACCAATCCTTGTCAGGAAGCTCCCCTCAGTTTGTGACGCCAGGATTTGAAACAAGGTCTTCTAAAACCTTGTGATTACCACAATGCTTAACAGAACCAACTTCTCACTGGGAAGAGGTTATAAAGATCTACTGCTGAGGTAAATTTTTATTTATAATGTGTCAAAGGATCTAATCCATTCAAGGGCTTCTGGGAGTAGTTTTTCTGGAACAGTCATGGATGGAGCAGACTGAGTCCAGCGAGGGTCAAAAGCCAACCTAGGGCAGGACTGGACACTAAGCAGTTAAGAAAGTTGATGGTAGAAAGGCAATAGGTACCTGTGATGGCCTTGCTTCCTGGGGATCCAGAATTTGGAGTGCGGAACATCTGGGACTGGGAGGCGGGCGGGACCCCGGAGGGGGTGCGGTGCAGGAGGCCGGAACAGCGGTTTAGGGACGCCGGAGATTTTTTGCTGGACTGGCTCGTCTGGGTCTTCACTGCCACGAAGAGTGGAGATCGAGAGAACTCTGGATATGAACATCAGAACTAGTGCCTGCACAGCCAGTGAGCTCCCAGAGCTGGGCCTGCCGGAGCTGCTGTGTGACAGCCACGCTCAGCCATCCCTGCATGGGCACTGCAGCCACCACAGATCCCAGGAACAGCACCGATCCCAGGGAACAGCTCTGATCCCAGGGAACAGCACTGATCCCACAGAACAGCACTGATCCCAGGGAACAGCACTGATCCCAGGGAACAGCACTGATCCCAGGGAACAGCTCCGTTCCCAGGGAACAGCACTGATCCCACAGAACAGCACTGATCCCAGGGAACAGCACTGCTTTCCCCACTCACCCCAGGGTGATTATTGAAGCTTGTTAACTCCCTTCCACACCTTTACCTGCCATGTGACCAACCCATTCCTCCTCCAGCAGGAATCACCCCATCCATCCAGGAGCACTGTTGGATTGCTACGGCCTGGCCGGGTGAACCTGCAGCTCTGCCTCCATTTCTAGGTATTTGATTTTGAGAGCAGGTTTCTAAAGTGACACTCAGGGCTCTGAGCAGAGAGAAGTTTACATCTTTATTCCTCGAGCCTTGCATAAATCCTAGCGATCTCCAGCTACATTCCTTGTCTCTTCAACCAAATACAAAGGAAAGGGGGCTGTTGGGAATGAAATGGAATTAGGAGGCAGAGTGAGTAAAGCTTTTTGGTCCCCATCTCCAGATCAATACTGGTGACACGTAGAGAAATTCTCAGTATTACTGGGATATGTTCTTTGAATGCATCTCCATTTTGGTCTCTGCAATGCACAGTGAGGATCACCAGGAATTTTCAATGCCAAAAGTCATGTGAAAAAACCTTCAGGAGAACATCCCTTTGCCTGGGCCACATGGATTAAAAAAACAATTACAAAAATGGAGAAATTATCTAAGAAACATCTTCATTCCTCAGTGGCTTCTTCTATGGAAATTTGGATACGACTCCTGGAGCCCAAGTCTCACTCCAACCATGTCATGAAGAATCACTAAGAAACAAGGTTTTAACCCACAGTTTTTTAACCCACAGCCCAATCTCCCTAATTTCACTCAGTAATTTCTACAGAGTGACACTGTAAGATGCCTAAAGGCGGATGGACCACACCAGCACCTGCCCATCCTACAGAGTGTAACTGAGGAATACTTATCCACGTGGAGCAGCTGTCATGGAATGCCATGGCAGCACAACAGCCTGACTCTGAGACAGGGGAGGAGAAAAGTTCCTCGGACTGAGACTGGATGCTCACTTCAAAAATCCCAGGAGACATTACAGACCTCAAATGTGATCCCTCTCATCCTCCCTTCAGCAGCACTGGGGAGTGGGGGTGTGTACATCCAGAGGGGCTTGTAACTCCAGGTATTTCGTTTCACTTGCTCTGACACACAGACCTAGGCTGACATTTCTGTTGTTCTGCAGGAGATCCTGCACTGGGTTTTCTCGTAGTTTAGGTCAGGATACTTCTCCTCTGCTTGCTCTCTGGCCAGCTGAATAGGCAGGAGGCTTGTTTTGTTCCCTATACTTCCTTTCAATTTCCATGGATAATCCTCCTCCAGTTGCTGCCAGCAAAAATGTAGTCAGATATGAAAATTTCCTTCTTATGTGTCATCTAGTTTCCCATGAGGACCATTCCCACCAATTGCTGCTTTATTCTCCATCCATACCAAGGGAAACAGCACTCAGCCAACTCTTCAGTGTCAGAAACAAAGAGCATCATTGTACATCCTCTGCAGCCCAGACACTGCTCTCTGAGACCTGAAGACAAAAGTCTCAATGCTGTGATGACCTCCAAAATGTCTTCTTTTTCTTCCCAACTTAAACAAATTGTATGTCTTCAAACTGAGACCCCAGAGAGAAGGCTTCTCCATCTGACACCAGGCAGACAGAGTTTGAGCCAGCAATACAAGACAGACAAAGGAATATTAGTTCTAGCAGTCTGGAGGATGATAATAGTTCATTGGGAAAAAAATGCTCATCAGATGACAAATTCCCTCTGAAAACTGAGCAACACAGGTAGAGACCATCATGCAGCTCCTCTGCTCTGCTCTTGAAAAGTCATCTGCCTCAGGCTCACAAAAAGGCCAAGATATTTCTAAAAATAAAAATACTGAGTTGCTGAATGGCCACAAAAACCTCCTGCCTCAAAATCTGCAGCTACACAGCAAGACTGGAGAGAACATTGTGGGCAGACAATCCCATATCTGCTGCTCTGGAGCTTTTTAAACTTTCTTGGAAAGCAGCTGAGACATGTCCCAGTGGAAGGTGGAGAAGGGAGAGCAGGAGAAGAGTGATGTAGAGCGTGATTCTCACTGCATGATCTCCAGTCACTGAGGGCTCTGTGCTGCAGCTCTGAGAGTGGTACCCGAGGTGCTCAAGGATCCACATGATCCAGGTGATGCTGAAAAGATGGGGGACTCCACCTTGGCAGCAGGAAGAAGCTTGTTCACTGCTGTGCTCGGTCAGGGTGGCTGCAGAGGAGCTCCCAGGGTGATGCTGGGGCTGAAATGACAGAGGTCCTCTTTGGGTGTGAACTGGGGCACCTTCCAAGGGCATTGGGGACACAATGGGAGCTCTCGGCTCCTCCAGGAGCCAGTGCTGGGCCCTGCCCTGCACGAGGGTGGGGAACTCACTGGAGAACAGTCAGGGCAGAAGACAGGAGGATAAATGAAGGACAAGAGCAGCAGAGCTTACAACAGAAACACAGGTCAGTCCTTTGGCTTAACTGGGAGATTAGGGACCTGAGAGCAGGCTGTGCAAGGGTCTGCAAAGGCCAGAAATTTGGTAACTGAGTCCTCCTTCACCAAGCAGACAAAGTTATAAATAGGACCTGGTGTCTGAAAGCTACAGTTGGATATTTTCAGGCTCAATTTAGTGAGGGTAATAATGCATCACAATAATTACCTTAAGAGATTGCTGTATTTTCTGTCACTCAACAGCAAGATTAGATTTCTCTCTAAAACTTATCTATGAGTAGTTAAATCAAGGCAATCCTACAGAATGTGTTTCTCTGGGCAGTCCAGAGATCACAGTGGCTTGGGAAGACCTTCAAGTCCTGTGAATGGCAAGCTGTGGCAGCAAGGAGAAAATGTGGCACACATAAATCCACTCACTGCCACAATGCACCACCACATCAGAGATCAGATTATCTCAGTAACATCACTTTTTCCAGGCAAAAATTCTGGCTAATAATTTGTGTATAGCATTTGTTCAGAAAGATCTTGCCAGGATGGGTAAGAAGCCATTTGGATGGTTCAGATGAAATTATACCATCACCTGTGGAGAAAAAAACCTCTCTCTACTGAATATGACGGAAAGTGATTCCTTAACAATGGCCTGAAATTCAATACTCTGAGCAGACACCTCTGCTATGGCAAACAGGTCTTTCCACAGAAAAACCCCTCTGCTCTAACCTATAGAATTTTTAATGTGTGCCTTTATACACACAAACAGGTGGAGCCTGTTGCCAAGGCACTGTGGGATTAGAGAGTGGGAATAACTCATAATTTCCCTCACTGAGGAAGCAAAGACGCACCATGCAAATGGAGTCTGGAGCTGTTTTTCTCTTGGTTAGACAGGAGCTGTGTGGAAACCACATGTGCTACCAAAAAGGATCCCTTTCTCTAAGGGAAAACCCATGAGGGCAGTGGCCCTCCTGAAACACTGCATTCAAGCACTTTTGATACACAAATGATATCCAGTGTCCTTCACAATAAGGAAAGGAATTGAGTAGAGAGGCTGGATGAACTTCCTTGAGCATCTCAGGTGTCAGGGTGGGTGTAGGTCTGTCTGTCCCCTACAGAGCCAAGAATGATCCCAGGGCTGGCAGGGAAGGGTCTTCAACAGCCAGGGTCCATCCCACAGACCCTGAGAGAGGTGAGCAAGGACCAGAGATGACAGACAGCTTCAACAACAGGACCAGATCTTCAGGAAGTTCATGGCAATGACACAAGTCTGTGGTAAGGTTGGGAAGTCAATCCACAGGTCAGCAGCAGGATCAGCTCTAGTGAGGTTACCCAGGGTCAGACACACACCAGTGATCCTCAGGGAGGTCCAGAATGATGGGACAGGGTTGACATCAAGCTGGGAAGTCAATCTGTGGGTTGGGGTCCAGACCCATGGGATGCACAGCCAGGCATGGGCATGTCTACAACAGAGCTGGAGACCAAAATCCTACAGTGCAGCCCAGGCAGGGCCTGATGGCTCAGAGCTGGAACAGGGAGTGTGACACTGGGCACAGGCCCCCTGTGAGGCTGCTCAGGGCCTTCAGGACCTACTAATGCTCTCAGGGCCCTAACATCACTTTAGATTTTCATCCTGGAAGCAAAAGACATGGAGAGCTGTGGAGAGTTTAGTGCTCTCAACACATGCTTCCATGACCTGGGAGTCTGTTGCCTTATCTGCAGGTACAAGAGAAGGATGTGGTGAGTGCACATTCCTAAGCCTGGATTTGGGAGATCCTACTAAAAGCTAAATCCCACTCCTGGTGGATTTACAGCTAGTCCACATCCCCAACACTCCAAGTTTTCTCTGCACTGCAAGCACATCACAGAATCCCAGAATGGTTTGAGTTGGAAAAGACCTTAAGTCCAACTCATTCCATTCCCCTGCCATGGGGGAACACCTTCCACTAGCCCAGGTTGCTCCAAGCCCAGTCCAACCTGGCCTTGGACACTTCCATGGATGGGGCAGCCACAGCTTCTCTGGGCAACCTGTGCCAGGGCCTCACCACCCTCACAGGGAAGGATTTCTTCTCAATATCCCATCTAAACCTACTCAGTGGCAGTTTGAAGCCATTCCTCCTTGTCCTGTCACTCCAGACCCTTGGCAAATAGTCCCTCTCCATCTTTCCAAGCAATTCCAACAGCCCAGCCACCTGCAAACGTGGTTCAATCAGTCCCACCTCACAGAGCAGTCAGACTCTGAGGGAGGACAGACAAATCTCTGAACCCTCCCCATGCCCCTCCATTCAGAGACAGTTCTAAAACTGGGACAGTGGTTGTGCCTACAATCCACTTTTGTATTGGAAACAGTCCCTGACACCCTTCTTCAAAAGAGTGAATATGTTGACAGAAACAGCAGAGAAATGTGTATTTTTAAAGAGTCATAGCCCAGTTCTAAGCTTATGAAAAAGCCACTACTCCACACTCAAAAAAGTGAACTTTGGAGACATTTGGCATTAATAATTCCAGGGAATCCCACAGCAGAGTTCTTCTCCAGACAGCAGCACTGACCAAAAATTATCCTGCAAGGTTCCTATTGACCCTGCAGCATTTCAGTCCTTGTTTTAGCCCACTTTCAATGACTTTTTATCCATTATCACAGAAAACCAGAAGGACAGGCTCTGGAAGGGAAGCTTGCACCCAAGCTTCAGAAAGCTGGTTTGGAAATGCTGAAGGGGTTTCCTTAACCAATCCTACTACAACTAAGTTTTCAGCATTTGCCTTATACCCAGAAGAACAAGACTAGGGTAAAGACAGTCTCAGCTTTACTTCTGACTGCAAGGGTCCAAAAAAGCCAGTTGTGCTTTCCAAAAGTCAGCTGCCTCCCAAGACCTTGGATTTTGGGAAGAGCAGAGTCTGAGCAGTTGAAAGGTGGGGGAATGTACTGGCCAGTCTGCTTTGGGAGCTCACTGTGCCCTCTCCTGTGGGAGATTGTAAATCATAAATCTTACTGGCCATGGGAACTAGGAGAGGAAAAAATATGGTTAAAAAAAAAAAAGGAAAAAGAAAAGTTTATGGGGGAGGAGTTAAACCTTATGAAAATATTATCTTGATCTGATCTTAAGTGTCCTCATAGAGATATTTGAAAGCACTGGAAACTCATCTGCACATCTCTGGCTGCTGATTTAGCCTGCAGTTAGAGGCAGCTTCTTTTCTTTCACAGCAGAAACCAGGGTGCAGGAATGGTTTCAACCCCAGTGTTCCAAAGAACACTCCTCCTCTTCCTCCTCCTCCTCCTCCAAAACTGGCCCCCAGCAGCCACAAAGTGGAGATTGGGCCAGGCCCCTGAGCTGCCCAGGGGAGGGACAGGGCCTGTGGAGGCCTTTGCAGGGCCCATCCCAGGGAAACACCTCCCAGAGAACAACTGCTGTGGGTTTCTTTTCTGCTGGAGCTCCTGGACTGGAACCAGCAGCTCAGCTATTGCTTCAGATGGCTGGGAGGGTGGAAAGATATCCATGGCAATAAATCCCTTGAAATGAAGTACTGGGAAGGCAAGCACATGCTACAGCTGAGCAGAGCTCCAGTGCCCAGTCCTCAGAGCTCACTGCTCCTGAGCTCTCTGCGGGGGCACCCGTGAGCCCAGAGCCTGGTGCCCAAGGGCACAGCTGTGGCAGGGACTGACCCACTGCTGGTCACCCACGGCCTGCTGAGCACTGAGAACACCTGAACGAAGAGGTGCAGCCTGGGGGTGCAGGGAAACTCAGGAATAACTGTTATGTGTGCAGTCACATTACTGGGGTAGTTCCTTCAGCAGATGGCAGACAACGAGATCAACTTGGCGATGCTGCTGGTAGAGGCATTTTGTGCCCTGCACCTTCTGCCCTGATCCTGCTCTATCTCCAACCTTCAGAGAACCTGCACGGGAGCTGTCAAGAGCCACCAAACCTTGACTAACCTTAAAAGTGACAGTCTGGTGGACTGTGTTCCCACAAACCCAAAGGTGCCTTATTAGGATCCCTTAAAATCCCGATGCAAGGTGAATTTGGGGAGGGAGGCGCGCGCGCCCCCCCTGCTGGCGGCAGCTGGAGGCATCCCCTGAGGGATGAGCTCAGCCCATCCCTCCTCTCCATCGTCCCAAACGCTGGAGCAGGACACACCCGGGCAAGGAACAGCCACCACGGCTCACAACAAAGCCCAGGGCAATGCTGGGAAAGGAGCAGGAAGTTCAGGTGTAAAGAACTTCTCTGCATACTTTTAGAGCATTCAAAGCCAGCAGGTAGCAAGAATTTCTCTAAACTAGTTTACTCAAATTTTGCACTGAATTACAGAATTGTTCATTAAAACCTCCCCTTTGTCTGGGGAGGGCACCCTCCATAGTGCAGGCTGCAGTAAGAACTGCCTTTTCTGGAGCTCCCTGAAATAAAGTTTCTTGCCTGTGATTTAGTAGCAGGCTGACGAGGTCATGTACATGATTTTGAAACCCAGTTTTAACTCATTGTCTGAAATAACCTCCTAGAAGCTCGCAAGAAAGATGCTTCTTCCCTAACATGTACATTCAGTTATTATTTAGGGGAGCCTACAAATTCTGTGCATCACTGCAGTTACACAACAAACTAAACCTTCAAACCCCCAGGGAACATGGGTAGAATTGCATGGACTGGGGTACAAGTTGGTGACTGACTTAACAGCGTCCCTGTGAGAGGAGATCCCAGCTCAGCTTTACAGTCCCTGGGCAGCACATGATCCATGTCCTGCCCACTGCAATCCCACAGCTCCAGTGGAAGGATCCACAAGAATGATCTCTCTCCTGCCACCCTCATGTTCAGCACAACCCTGTAAATCAGAGCCTGCAGTGGAACAGCAGATACTCACTGATGGGAGCGTGCAGGGCCACGTGCTCCTGGTAGGGAGTGTAGTACTTGTACTGCTTCCCACAGAACTCACAGGTGTAATTGCCAGTTTCTGTGAAATGACACAAATACGAAGATCAGGAAGGGGTGCAGCCCTCTTACATAACCCCCAATTCTTGTCTTTTTACATATAAACTGGTGACACAAACTTGAGCACATTCCTCATCCATGTGGAACTCACCTCCCCTGTAATCCACACGTCCTTCCCCAGGAAAGGAAACAGCTCAAGGCAGTGACCAGAGGGATGGACTGTGCATAAAAAACCCCGTAGAACTGAACAAGCTGCAGGAGATTACCCCAAAATTACAGCAAGTAAGTGCAAAACAAAGGAGAGAATCCATTTCTAAAGTCTGTATTACAGATGGCACAGTTTCGTCCTCTGGTTACAGAAAGTCTGTGATGTGTGGACAACAAGAAGAGTCAAACTAGGAAACAAGTAGTCAAACTTCAGTATTAGAGAGCTTTTATATTGGGATTGTAGAGTTCTCTTGCAGGAGATGGGTTTTTTCAGGAGCAATGGTGCTCATTCCTGCTTTGGGGGTACTGGAAATAATGGAGTGTAACCACACACTGACACCTCCTGCTCCTGCCAGTGTCAGTCCACAACTGACAGCAAGGTGCAAGCCAAAGGAAAACCCAGGGATAATCAATCGTTTCCAAAGTGAAGAATTCGGAGAAATGCTTTGTCTGGTGCTCTCTCTGCTTCCCTCTGCCCTGATGACCCTCCACAAAGGCAGTGTGAACAGATCACCTGCCAGCTCTGCCACCACATTGCTGCCAGATTGCTTTTCCCCTGAACCCTCTACCTCTTCCCTTTGCAGAGCTCTTGAGCAGGAAACATCACAAAGCTGCAGTTCTCACAGCCAGGGCTGTTGGTGTTTGATGCTCATTTGAACCTGAACATATCAAGTCCCAAGAGCTCTGTGTACCACAGTGCTTCCTGGTTTTCTTAGAGGTACTCCAGCTCAGGGCAGATGTGACCCCCTGTGCTTCCCCTCTCCTTTGAAGCTGTGCAATAACTCTTACTTGGCCCGATCTTCTGGAACGGCTCCGGTTCCTCCTCCTTGACCTCGTCGGCGGCGATGACGGCCTGGTCATAGGGGTCTGCAAGAGAACAGAGCAGCAGCTCAGCTGACACACCCTCAGGGCTGCCTCCTACAGCTGCACGGGCACTGAATGCTCCTGCATCTGTATGACATTTCCATCTGCAACAAGATGTGAAGACAAGAATTATAAACCAAATGACCCCTCTGTCTGACTTGTCCCTTCTCCTCCTCCTCGGGTGCCCCAGGATTATCCCTGCTTCCAGCCCAGGAACATGCCTTGTAGGTATTAATGTTTAAAAAATACAGAGGAAAAACTGAACAAACACATTGCAACGTCTGAACCATATTTTCTGATTTTCTTCCAGTGCAACTGCTGTACTGCCTGAAAGTGGGCAGGGCAATGCAGGCTGCAGGCAAGTCACCTACCAAATACTGACCTGGGACTTCTACCAGCTAACAGCACAGCTAGCAACAAATCAGAACCCAACCCATTTTATAAAAGAATTTAATTTATACCTTGAACAATTCACTAAAACACCAAAGACATGAAACACCTGCTTCTTTGATTTTCTGAAGCCTGATCAATTGTATGTGCAACAAAAGCCTGGTATCTGCTAGGGCTGGGCATCAACCTACTGGCTAAAGACACTGGGGGAGGGAGAGAGGACACTCCCTGTCCCTCTGCAATCCATGACAAAATTCCCTTGACTCTTCCAAGTTCAGAATCGGACCTTCTGTGACTGAGCTACTGAATGCTTGAAAAGGTTTGTGAAATAAAGCACACAAAGGAGCTCGGCTTACCTGCCCGGTTTTCTGGGGCCCCTTCCACACTAAAAACTAACACAGAATAGAAGAAGGAGGGGAAGAAACAAAACAGAAATTAAATCCTCTTAAAAGGTCTTGTTTTCCTCCTGCATTTCACATACTGCTCAGCATAGTTCAGACCCACTGAATAAACCAGGCTTTGTGCCCCAGTCCCTCCTCTTCCCAGCAGCATCCACACAGGAAGTAGTTGAGCATGCCCAGCCCTAATCCACACAGATCCTCAAGGCCTTTGTTCTGACACTGCCACGGCCCCACAGAGGTTCAGATGCACAGCTGCCTCACACCTGCATGTGCTAGAACACCCCAGCCCTTCAGGGACTGACACAGTGTCCTTGTGGGCACACGTGGGGCCATTTCCAAGCCCCATTGTGCCCTCGACAGAGCTCCTGAACCACAGCCATGAGACTTCACTGACTGAAGGAGAGATGTTCCCCTCACAGTGACCCCAGTCCCACTAATCTCATGCTGGCTCCCCACGGGAGGGAGGGAGCTGGCAGTGGTGCCCTGCAGGAGAACACTGCCTGTCCTTAGAGCACTTTTAGATGTCCACACATTCCAGTTAAACACAGCCATTCTTTTGGACACCATGTATTGTAAAAAACCACTTGCTTTTCTGAGACAGTGCTGCTCAAAACCTGCTGCTTTCCAAGGAGCCTCTTTCTAGAACTCTGGCAGGGCTCCATCCTTGGCCAAGCAAGGGGCAGTACTTAGAGGCTTGCAGCACACACAGTGAGGGTTTGGAGTGTCTGTGGGCTCTGAGCTGAGGATCTTTGGATGCCCAGTAAGCAAGGGGCAAGCCAAAGTCACTATGTTGATGCTTCTCTTTCCCACCATGTAGGAGAAAGCAACACTGCATCAGGCAGTGGAGGCCTGCTTCTGTCCAAGTGTCACCAGCCTAGGCCACATCTACAGCCACAGAGAGAGGAAAAATGAGCCTGTAAGGGCCACTGCCCATCAGTTCACTACCAGGGTGATTAACAACAACAAAACAACATTTCCCAACTCTGAAATGTGGTTTCTCTCAGAGGAGTATGTTGGGAACAAACCTGTAAAGTCAGAAACCAAAAGGCAACCAAGTCTTTCCCAGTGAGTAGGCAGGCTGATCATTTACCCTGAGGCACTCCAGGATATCCACCCTAACCAGGAACTTCACTGCAGATAGGACCAGAGCCCCCAGGTCCCAGCATAGGGTGTTGTTTTGATGCACATCAAGAGAATCAAGCACAGCAAACTCCTTCCTGCAGAGCCTGGATGCTGTGTCTCCATGGCAAAGACAGGCTGTGAAATGTCCTGCACATCACGGGCCACACGGTCCTGCAGAACCACATTTTGCTTCCCCAAAGACTTCCCATCCTAGTTTGGGTGTCTGAGTGTCAAAACATTACTCACCATCCACGGCGTGCAGGTCTCTGTGCTCCTGGAAGCAGCTATAGTATTTATATTTTTTCCCACAAATGTCACATGTATACCTAAAATTGTCTGTAGGAAGAAGAAAACAGGCCACTTTAGAAACTCTGAGGTGAAAGTCAAGCACTGCAGCCACACTGCTCAATCAGACACCCCCATGCACTGACACCCATCCCACGTGCTCTGTCAGATCTCTAAGGCACACAGACAGCCATGGGCTCATCCTGTCCCCCCCGTGCCCTGTGCTATGTGGCTGGGGGCATATGCTGATTTAGTTCCTATTCAGGCAGCTCTGCTCTGCAGTGCAGCCTACACAGACCTCACACAAGAGACATACAGCAGCAGGCCCTGCTGACATCTCCTTTCAGTGCTACAGCAGGGAAGTGCCACTCAGGATGGGGACAAAGTGGCAGAACTAAACACAGAGTCAGTGTGTGAGCTCTTAGAAATCAAAGTCTCAATATGCCAACTCCAACATGGACTGGGTGTGACTGCACACTCAGTTCTCACTGATTCCTGACTGCATCCAGGATCCTATTAGAGCCACAAAACCAAAGAGAACCAACAAAGCCAAGAGAACCAGCAATCCAAGACATACAGGACAGTGCAGTCTCAGTGGAAGGAGGACTGGTGAAGCTTGATTTCAGGCATGTTTGTACCCTATGCCCCCCCCCCCTCATCCCAGCAACAACTGATCCCCATCAGCACAGCTGTGTGGGGCAGACAGACAGATGCAAAACAGCTCAAGATGGTTATGAATGTGGCTTGATCTGAATGGAGACAAGAGTGTCTTTGGCTCAGCTCTCACGTCACTGTGGGAAGAGGATTTTCCTTGTCAGCTTGGTGGGGTTTTTCCACCCTCTGCTGCCTGACATCCACATCAGGGAACACCCTGACATCCACCCTGGGGTACAGCTTGACACACACCTTGTGGTACATTCTGACATCCACCTCGGGGTACAGCCTGACACCCACCTCGGGGCACAGCCTGACACCCACCTCGGGGCACAGCCTGACACACACCTTTGGGTACAGCCTGACACACATCTCGGGGCACAGCCTGACACACACCTTGAGGTACAGCCTGACACCCACCTCGGGGCACAGCCTGACACACACCTCGGGGCACAGCCTGACACACACCTCGGGGCACAGCCTGACACACACCTCGGGGCACAGCCTGACACACACCTTGAGGTACAGCCTGACACCCACCTTGGGGCACAGCCTGACACACACCTCGGGGCACAGCCTGACACACACCTTGAGGTACAGCCTGACACCCACCTTGGGGCACAGCCTGACACACACCTTGGGGTACAGCCTGACACACACCTTGAGGTACAGCCTGACATCCATCTTGGGGTACAGCCTGACACACACCTCGGGGCACAGCCTGACACACACCTTGGGGTACACCTGCCATCCCTCAGCAGTCACCCCCCTGCAGCCCTGCACTCGTCAGCTGACTGCAGCAGCTGATGGGTTGGTGCTACAAGCCCATGGCAAACACAGGGAAACACATGAGCTGGTGTAGCCACAAAGGAGCTTGAAATTAATGTTTTACTCTCTAACAAGAGCAAGGAGTGCAGACATCAGCTACCACAGCTCCACAGAGGAGCTGCCATTCAGCAGCTCAGCTGTTTGTGTCCCATACATCCATATTATCTGCAAAGTTAAAGCCTTGTTTTCACCTCTTCCTTACCATATTTGAACACACCAGAGTGTACACATTTTATTTTACTTCTCCATAATTTTTAAAATAACTCCATATTTTAAGCTAGGATGTGTTGGTACAGTCTAACTGCTCACTTGGCTTCACCACTCAGTTCAGCAGCACATGATGTTCAGCACTAAACGAAGAATCACTTTTTGCTCTTCATTCTGCTTCACAAAAAACTCCACGGTCAATTAGTAGCAAAGAAAACTCATAACATGGCATCAGTCATGAGTCCCACCTTGCTAGTGTCCTCAAAAGAAGGAACCAAGCTCCTTTTTGAAGTACGAGCCATGCAGGAGATGAACTAAAGATTAATTCTTCAAAGGAGTCCCAAAGACCAAGCACTTCCACATTCAGAGGAAGAAAACTATTATGGCCTTAGTTTGGAAGAAAAGTGCTCAGTAAATAAGGAGACTTGTTAGAACAGAGGAAAACTAACTAACACACCATTTCACAGACTCAGGCACAGCCAGTTGTGGTCTCTAACACAGTGGGGATCTCCCTGTCAGCAGTGAGCCTTGAGTGGCACATGCTGGATATGAGCACTTCCTTCCCTGGGCTGTGCAGGGAAAGGGAACACAGTGACAACACTAACAGCACAACCCAAGAGAAACAGGTTTGCTTGTTTTGTTAGGGGACTGTTTTCCTGCAAGCAGAATGACCTCCAGAGACTACACAGAAGCAGGAATTTGTTCCAGCTGGTACTGGCACTAATCTTCTCTACTCCACAAGAGAAAACCCAGTACACAGTGCCAAGCCTCAGACGAGGAGCTGTACGGAGAATTGAGAAAGCACCAGGAGCTGCCCATGTGCAGCCAAGCTTTACCTCTCTGAACAATGGCCCTTCTTCAGGGTTGCCCCCACGTGCCAGACTCCTTCCTTCGTCCCCGATAAAGCCATCTTTGCTGACAGCCTTCCAACACTTCCAGTGCTGATCCCAGCAGCAACTGCTTTCTTAGCAAAAAACTCCCTGAGCAGAATTAGCTGTGCACTACTAATTGGAATCCTAGAATATCCTGAGTTGGAAGGGACCCACAGGGATCATGAAGTGCAATGACAGCCTCAGCAATCCAGAGAGCACTGTCAAAACGCTCCTTAAGCTCTGTCAGGCCTCCATGGCCCTGGGGAGCCTGTTCCAGTGTACTTTCCCTGCCCTGGGTTACAACCACTACATCAAGGTATCCAGCTGGGGCACCATATCCAATACATGTAACAACACAGCTTTCCGTGGGAAATGTGGCTGCAAGCCCACACTGAAACTCCATCCCTAAACCTCTGGAGAGACAGTACCAGACAGAGCCAAACTAACACTACTTGAGCAAGTTTGCTCAGATTCAAGCTCTCTGCTGTCACCAGGGAGACACCAACGCAGTGCAGCCCCACCAAAAGCACAACCGCACCAACAGGCACTACTAGGACAGGGAAAAACACTCCTTAGCCCACCAGCACAGAGGTTCAGTGCTGTCCCTCACTGGTATTTGGGCCACAGGCCTACAAAACACCACCCTGCTGCAAACCCAGAACTTCAAAAGGCTTCAAAGACATCCAGTTAAAAACCAAACTCCAAAATGTATCATTCCCCTTTATGCTCAGGAGTCTTTCCAAGGAGAGCAGTGCTTCCAGAGAGAGGTCTAAGCAGTACCAGCCTTCTTTATTTAGTCAGCCCACATTTAATCCTTAATACACATCAAAATAGAGTACCACATCTAAATATTAGAAAAGGCAAGGCACAGCCTTGTTCCAAGGCAGCTCCTCAGCTATGAAGGACTGGTGGACTGAGGTGGCAAACAGGCAGGTTTTCCAAGCACCCCAAGATCACTCCACAGGGTCTGAGGGAACATGCTGCTCTCCTCTGCCCATCTCCAGGTTTGCTGCTGGCTGGCTCCTGCTGTGTGGTCTGTGTTAGCACTGACCTGCAGCTGCTGAACCCCGTGCCCTGGGGCTGAGCAGCCAGCTCGGCTCTCCTCTCCTCTCAGATGCTGCATTAAAGATTTTGAGAATATTTTCCTGGTTTGATTCAAATATTGCACAGAGAAGGAAGTACATGTCTCATTTTGGCAGAAAGAGGGAGGGTGGAGAACACATGCCCAGTAGTGGCAGGCTTCTTTCCTTGGGCACTTGGTCTTAGTGGATTTTGCTCTAGAAACCCAGGAAGGGAACAAGAGCAATCAGAAATGTGTTGAAAGGTCAGGACCTCTGTATCACAAACTACAAATACAGATCACTTAACCTGCCCTCCTAAGTGCAGGAATCCAATACCACAAAAGCTGTGAACAAACAGGTTTCCACTGGGAACCAAGAGCTCTGCACAGCATCACAGAAACCCAGACTGGAAACAGTTCCATACACCATCCAGCTGACAGCCCTGCAATGCTGACAGTACAGCCCAAGAAGGGTCCAGAGCTGCAGGAGCTCCTTAAGGACTCCTCCAAGGTGAAGAACAATTTTCACCTGACTAAGAACTCACACTGACCTTTCGAATGGCAGAATTCACAAAAGCTACTTGATAGAGGAGCGCTCAGGGCAACTGGCACTCTGCAGATACTCTTGAATCCTAAATGATCCTACTCCTGCAGAGCACTGCAGAAATAGCTGTCGGGTAGGGACAGCTGAATTATTCCCCAAATCCAAAATTGTTACAGGTCCCAGTCAAAAAACAAGCAGGAAAATTAGAAGAGGGCACTCTGGACAGCACTGCTCGTCCTGCTCCATGGTCAAGGTGGCCCCTTTACACCAGGAGGTTTGAGACTGGCAAAGGAAGCACCCAATACCAGGAAATCTATTCTAAATTATATATTCTGTGATTCCGTGATAATTCCACATTCCTGGTTCACCTTGGCAAACAAGGTTTCCCAAACAGTTCATAAAACCCAGCAGCAGCTCTGGAAGGCAGGGGCTGGATTTCCTACAGCTGCAATACCTTTATCTGTCATCTCTCTCTTTGAGGTTGTGATGGTTCTCCCCCCAAAAAGGCTTTCTGAGTGAGGCTGAAGTGACCACGAAGCAGCAGCAGCATCCCTCCAGCCTCAGCCCGTGGATTACAGGACAGGCCATGAGATGTTCTGATACTCAGTTTCACATTCCTTGACTGTTTCCTGAAAATCTGCTAGCAGATGCTGGAGCCCTTGGGAGTCCTGCTGGTGGCAAACCCAGAGGGCTGGAGCGGGGGAATGGCTGTGTGGCAGTACCTGGAAAAAGCACCACGTTTCCTGCCTCACTGAAGGGAACCACAAGCAACACCAACACTTCAGGAAGAGCCAGGGACCATGACTAATCCACCTGATGCAAAGAAACAGGAAAGGCTGGCATTTTCTGAGGAACATACTGCATGTTTCCAACTGGGAAACACCTTTCCAAGCTGTGTCTAGAGAACACACCACCTGAGCAGCCTCCCCAGAAGACTCAGAGTGCAGCTATTGCTTCCTTACAACACATCAGGGAGAAAAAACGTCTGGGACCCTCACTTGTTTCTGTGGATTCCACCCAGGGCAGCACAAAGACAGCTCTGGAGAGAGGCTTCTTCTCCCTTTCCGCAGCCAGAGGGGCACCTAGATGGAAAGGAACACATTTATGTCTTCCTAAGCTGGCAGGACATTCCCCGCGCAGGTTCACGGACAATTCCTTTGGCCTGAGCCTTTGGCACCTTTGGGGGATTCTTTCTAGACCCTGGACTGGCAGTGAGGAGGGGCAGAATGCAGGTCTGCAGACAGACACAGACCTCCACCTCCTCCCCCTCCAACTGTGCCTTGCACAGAGGTTACAGCTTCACAACTGCATTTTACAACCAAGGCTGAAGTTGCCAGTAAAATCAGTTGCAGTTTACATCAGAGCTCAGCTTAAAGGTGTCTCATGGCAAAATTCCTTGAAAAGGGAGCAGGACCGAGCCCAAAGTCAGCAGCAACCTCTTAAGAGGATTAAAGTATCCAGAGTTACGTCAGTAAGGATTAAATAGTAATAAAATCCAGAAATCTGGAAAGGACAGAAACCCTCACACACAAAGGCACAAGCCAGCTCCTAAGTGAGGGTTGGGAAAAAATTTTCCCCGTGGGCAAACTATTCAAGATCACTCATTTCACAATCATTTACTTCCTTCCCACAAACATTTGGCCTTGCTCAGAACACAGGAGACACTGAGGAACATGCTGGCTTAACATGGTGCTTCCCATAGGGGGATCCCCAGGATCCAAACTGCCAAGCCAAGATTAACGTAATCCCAAACCCTCATAGAGGGGTCACATCCCCTGAAACTACCAAAAAACTGGTGCAAGGTGTCAGCTCACCTTCCAGCTGGCAAGGGGCTAAATGGCAGTGAGAGGGCTTGGAGCCACAGGCTGGTGCTTGGGTTCTCCCTGAAGCATTCTAGAGCCAGGCCCAGCTCCTGGGAAGAGCTGCTGCAGGTGCATCACAGCTACGGGGCTGATTTCACTTCACAGTGATTTTTAAGCTGCTTTCAAGTCAGTGGCCAGAGAATGCTATAAATTCTGTGATACTTTATCAAAACCACATGTCAGCTGAACGTATCACAAAGGAGATTTAAATGTAATCCCACCAGGTTTGGAAACTTAATGCCAGACTACCAGGAACTTCCCTATGGAGGGGAATATCCTGATTTAATTTCTGACAGACAGAACCCTTGTTCAGAACAGCCTGATGGTCACAAACTCTAGAATGCTTTTAAAAAGACTTTTTTGGGAAAAGGTGTTTTAGGCACTACTCACTGGATGTCGAGAGAGAAAGGACTTCTGGGCGTTCTCAGGATGCTACACACCAATGAATTTCCTTCTCCCTCAGTTAAAAGGATGCTCAAGTTGAATCCAAACAGACAGCAAACATCGGCAATTTAAAGCAAAAATATTATAGTGTTTTACAATTATGCCCCAAAGCAGACCATGAACCAGGATATTCAGGCTCCATGACAAAATTCAGACACACCAGACAGTATAACTGACACCAGCAGATCCTGTTTCATAATTCCTCATTCTGGTGTCCCTTTGGGGCAGAGTTGGATTCTTTTTTGTTCTATTTGTAACTAAGTATAAGATAAAGAATGGTGACATGGGTATGATAAGGTGCTACTACCAGCAATTTGACAATGAAGTACCTCACCTTGCATAATTAAATAGGTGTATCTGTACCTACATAACCTGTCAATGAAGGGAGATTTATTTGTTATTTCCATAAGGATCTGAATCTCCATCTCAAGTGAAAAACTCCATCAAGCCCACACTGTGGAGCTCTGCATAACACACAATAAGGGCCATTTCACCATAACCCCCTTCTGGAATCAAACTGGTTTGGATGGGAACACAATACTTATGTACCCCACAATTGGTCAGATCAAATGATGTAGCACAGAGAACTTCAGAAAAGAAAAGCAAACCTCATCTCTCCTTTTTCTTACTCACTTGTCCATGACTAGAACTGTGATTTACAGATGGGAATCAGTGCCTGTTTTCCCAAGTGGAAAGGAAAAGTGCTAGTTAAACGACTGAGCAGCGCTGGAGAAGAGATCCTGACTCCATAGAACTTCTTACAGAAAAAATGAGATTAAAACAAGGCCGGGGGGATGCAGAACCCTCCCCTCTGCAATCACTCAAGGAAATTGAGAACTCCAACCTTTCCACTGAAAGGAAATGGTGTCAGGAAGGTGATCCTTGTATCCCTCTGCCTTTCCTGGTTATGAAGATCCTTAGAAATCAAAATACTGAGAACTTAAATTTTTAAAATACTCGCAGTGTTTGGGTTTGTTGTGTGCTACTCAGGTTCAACATTGCTGAGATGTCAACAAGCAGCTCAACAGAAAAAGGGTCAGGCTGAAAGAAGAATTTGGAATAATTAATGGCATTGCTGTTTATACACCTTTTCTGTTGCTAAATTTCAACGCACATTGGAAGATGGAAAGTGTATCCCTCACTGGACAGTGGGGGGATCTATTTCTGCCTTCAGTAAAACTCTCCTGGCATCTTCAGGATAACCTAATACTTCTTTTTATTGGAATAAATATATTTCTTCATCAATTTTCTTGCCTAGGAACTCTGCAAGAGATTTGTTTGCATTCAGATTTCTGTAAACATGGTCTATTTGGTCAGTACCTCGAAAAGGGGCAGGAATTTAATTTTCATGGGTACATTAGCAATTTTTTGTATAAGATCATGGGAAGATCACAGAATTCTAGACAACCTGAAAACCTCCTCTTCTAAAACCTCAGTTTAAAACTATACACAGAGAAACTGCTTCTCTCCAGAGCTATGGAACTGCAGGACTTGCAGGAACGTTAAACCCTCCATTGTGTGTGATGTTCCTGAGCACATCTTAGGAGAGACACTGGGCAGGATACCCAAGTGAGAACATCCCAAAAGAACCCTCAGTGTAACAGTTATGTCAGAAGAGCAACTTCAAATTTACCCTACAACAGGTCCAGGAACTGTTCCCAATTTCACCCCCCTCAGACAAGAGGTTGGTGCTGTTATGTGAAAGCTGGGTCAGGACTAAGAGAGAGAGAGAAAGGCAAATGGAACTCTCACGTTCCAGAAAACCTGGAAAATTGCACTGATGAACTCTCCCATCCCAGTCCTGCAGTGTACCCAGAGTGAGACAGCAGGAAGCTGTGTTAGGGGGCAAAGGACAGCACTGCACCTGGCCAAAGCAGCCTTGCTCCAGGGGCAATGAGTGACCCAGCCCTGGAGCTGCACAGGAACTGGGCTCTGGGACAGGCGACAGCTCCAGCTCTGAGGAACAGATCACACAATGTCCTGAGCTGGGAGGGACCCACAAGGACCATCCAGCCCAACCCCTGGCCCAGCACAGACACCCCAACAATCCCACCCTGTCCCTCAGAGCTTTGTCCAAACCCTCCTGGAGCTCTGGCAGCCTGGGGGCTGTGCCCACTGCCCTGGGGAGCCTGGTCAGTGCCCAACCACCCTCTGGGGGAAGAACCTTTTCCTGAGATCCAACCTAAACCTTCCCATAACTTGGGATAAATATCTGGGCCTTAAGCTCAAAATTTCTTTATGCTGTAGATCCCAGAACTAAGTTCCTCATTATGTTCTTAATTCCTCCTCCTGCACCAAAATTTATCATTCTTGGTCTCAGCCCATTGGTCATCTAAATGTGAAGATGAACATATTCATCTCCATGTTTGGTAAATGGGAATCTAAAGAGACTTCACCTACTTAAAATGCAAACCCATTAGGAAAATAAAATCCATTTTTATAGCTCTTCCCAAGGAGCAGGAGAATTATTAAATAAGGACATTGGCAAAACGAATCACAGAGTTGTAAATGACTAATGGTTCACCGTGGGTATGCACACACACCATTTACATCAGGCTTTTCATTGTGTAAGGTGTTAGTAAGCACAACAGTGAACTCTCCAGGTTTTGCACTGGTACGTCCAAAAAAAGTAAAAGGAAATCAAAAGCCAAAACTTACTTTCAGAAAACATGAGGATTGCAAATTTGAATATTTAAATTAATCAAGAAACAGAGATGCTAAAGGTTCTTCCTTAACCTTAAATTAACACTAGCAAACCACCTCCATCTTCCCATCCCTGTCAGAACATTACTAACACCATATCCTGTATGAGTAACATGTGGGCAAGAAAACATCCATTTTGACTATATTAATTTCATGGTTTGAATTCACAGCCCTCCAAACATTTGTGCACATGCAAGGTGTTAGCCCTGTGCCTCCACAGTTAACATTTGCAAGGCTATTCCAGCCCACATCCCTGCTTCTAACCTTTCACTGCTTTTCCAAATAAACTCCCTCTCAGCCTGAACTTTCTCACACTTAGTCAGAGCCCAAAGGGAATTATGTTTTTAAAATATCAGATCAATCATTTTTTATTTATGGGGTTGTGAAATATTTACTGGTTATTCCATTTTGGAAAAAAAAAATAATGCCATTTTCTTTTTTTTCCTCTCTGTAACTGCAGTGGAGACACACGTTGCTCATGGATGTACATATGTACATAGGTGATGCTTTGACTGCATCTGGCTGAGAAACTGCAAAGAAAAATGTTCTGCTCGCAGCCTACAACACCCTCAGACCCAGAGGAGCGTTTAGCAAACAGTAAGTACGACACTACTACAAATGGGGAAGAAGAAAAATAAAGCTCAAGACGTATTTATATCTAATATATATATTTAATTTTCAAAAGTACCTCCTCTGAAGATCATTTTGGCACCTCTTGCATTATAAGGGTATTTACCCTTAAAAGCAGTTATTTTCATCCCTATGACACTGCAGCAGGTACTGTGCATCCCTGCCTTCCTTGGGATTGCTCCTGTGTGACACAGCTCAGGGAAAACGTGCTGACTGGCATTTCCTTGCCTAGATTGCACAGGCAGAACTGGCAGCCTTGGAGCTGAAATACTTCTCAGCATTTTCTAAATGCAGCTTGCAGTGTGAGTCTGGTCTGACTCCAGCAATGTGTCACTGGAGAGGAGAGTGCAGCCATGGCTCAGTGTCCCCACGAGGGCCAGGCTGAGCTGCAGAGGATTCCAAAGCCTGTGCTGCAGCCAAAGGGCCCAAGGACTCTTTGTGTC